ATGCCCCAGTGATGTCTAGAAAAGCCACGTACAAGGGCCTATTCTCTATTTTAGATATTTCTATACACTGAGTGAGAACAAACAGGTTATCGTCTAACCGCCTGTCGACTCGAAATCCGTTCTGAAGTCCTCCCAAAATATCGTTATGTTCGGCCCATGTTTCTATTTTCATTTTTACTGCTTGCATCGCCAACCTGTATAGTACCGATGTAATGGTTAGTGGTCTATACGAGCGAATCTTGTCCTTTTCTCCCTTGCCTTTATAGATTAAGTTCATTCTACTTTGTCGCCAACTGTCCGGTATTTGTCCGTCCTTTAAGCTTTTTTCTACTGCTTTTAACAATGCTTCTTTAGTGTTATGTCCTAGTTCGTTAATGAGGCTAACGGGAATCCCATCTAAACCCGCGGCAGTGCGCTTTGGAATTTTTCCTTCGGCCTTTTTCCAGTTGAAATTATCAAGTACTAGCTCTTCCTCTGTTGCTTTCTCCGCCACACTTTTACTCACCGGGGAGATCCCCTGGACGCTCTTTTGAAACGAATCGGCTGTTACCTTTTGGATGTAACCTAGCGCTTCGTACCCTTCCAATTGATTTCCTCCTTCATCTAGAATATGTTGTTGCGTTGTGACAGACTTCCTACCTAGCGCCTTTATGTGGCTCCAAAAAATCCTAGGCGCGGCCTCCTTTTTTTCGTGTATCTCTGTCATCCAGCGTTCACTTTCACCTTTAATTTTTGCCTCTACCAATTTCTGTACAAGAGATTTTTTCTCCAAATATATTTCCCATATTTTTTTGACTTCGTCCTGCGGCCGCTTCTCCTTTTTTGCCTTTCTATGCTCCCGTGATGCTTCGCGTCGCTTCTCGATCGCCTCCCGGATTTCCTTGTTCCACCAACTTTTTGGCTTCCTTTTTCCTTTCCAGCAGACAGTTTTCTTCTCTTTCCCTATCTCCTTCGTCATTAGATGTAACAGCTCACTATACTCCCAGTCCTTGCCTGGTATTTCGCCTACTTCTTCCTCGACTCTTGCGGCTATATTTATTATTTGTTTGTCATTTAAATACGAGCTGCCAGACTTTGATTCCATGCTCATATTTTTAGTTTCGTATCCCATTTGTAATGTTATTCGTTTATGATCACTACCCAAGCTGTTAATGCCTCCCTCGTCTATCCTCATTTCTGTCAGTTTGTGGTAAATTCCTTCAGTCATGAGACAATAATCAATACTTGATTGCTTGTTTCCGACTTCCCATGTGATCTGGCCGTCACATTTAGGCCCCGTGTTAACTATCTCCAGACTATGTTGCTCGCAAAGATCTAGTAATAACTTCCCATTGGTGTCTGAATATCCGTCAAGGTCATGTATGTGGGCATTCATGTCCCCTAGAAGGATGATTTCGGCCCCATTACCAAATTCCTTAATATCCGCACTCATGCAATCCACTATCTCCTGATTCTTTTCTCCGCAGTTATTCCCCGTCCACAAGTAGGCTACCCCTAGCCACGTTTCCTTTCCACCTACTGTGCCCAGAACCCAGAGGTGCTCTGAACACGTCTGTTTCACTCTAACCCATTTGGCTCCGCGGTGAATTAGCATTCCTACACCCCCACCTTTCCTTTCCGATATGGTCCTGTTACACCCTTCCCAAACATAATTTTTAATATGTGGTGGCTCTTCCAAGTCTCTAAGGTGTGTTTCTGTAACCGCATACACGCCTATCTGTTCTTTGTTTAACTGCTCCTCAATCTCTAACCATTTTGCCTTCTTTCTGCCACCCTGCATGTTTATGTAACTAATTGCAACACGCGCCTTTTTCCTTTTTCTTTTACCTTTTTTCTGGTTTTTCGCAATTCTACCTGTCAAAGCGTCCTCCTGGTTGTTTTCCATGATAGTGTCGGGCGCAAGCGCCATTGCACGGAGCTTGTTTAAAACTGAAGGCAGGCCAACTCCGCTGGGAGCGCGAGCTATTCCTCAGGCATCTTTCTAGACGAGGCGTTGGTAGCATAGAGTTTCTCAAAATTAACTATAGGGCACTCTGGCGCTGCGATCGCTCAGCGACCATGGGAATGATGGGTAGTACACACATTTGCCTAGTCTTCGTACTTGCGGGCGGCGAATCGTACTTGCGGCTTCGTTTATTGCTGTCTTTCGGTTTTGCTTTGAAAGAGAGATTGAACCCTTTTGAACTTCATGAGCCGATGTGTAAAGTAAGTCTAAAAAAAATATTGAAGCGCAACCACGGAACGTTTGCTAATACTTGTTTTATAAGAAAACAGCTCCAAGCCACACGAACACACACGGAGCCAAAAGCAGGCCAGAAGAACGAATATTAGACAAATGTGTGTACCATAGAAACTCTATGGTGTGTACTACCCATCATTCCCATGCTCGCTGAAGCACCGTGCGTTGCACCTCCCTTATACACTAGCGCCAGAGTTCCCTCTAGTAAGTATTGTAAGAAACTCCTTGTCACCATCAACGCGAAAACAAAAAACAATAAAAATATGACGTCACAATTGGATGTGACGTCATGCAAACACATGGCGCGTAATTGAAAATTTTCCCAATTGCTGACCTACTAGGTGCCTTTTTTACGTGATTTCATTGGGCCTTAATTGTGTCTCGCTAACTGCATGCGAGAGAGAAAAGAAACACGGATATTAAAAGAGTTCACGGGTCAGACAAAGATGCACGCGCTCAATTGTAACTACGGCAAACGCTCAGTAGCACTGACAATTAGGCGAGTTGCTGTGGGTTCGTACTTATGAACGGCGCATAGAAACACTGAACACAAATGAAAAAAAAAAAAAAAAAGAGACACGCACTCGTGTTTCTTTACCCTGCCGCGGTGGTCTAGTGGCTAAGGTACTCGGCTGCTGACCCGCAGGTCACGGGATCGAATCCCGGCTGCATTTCCGATGGAGGCGGAAATGTTGTAGGCCCGTGTGCTCAGATTTGGGTGCACGTTAAAGAACCCATAGAGTTTCCTGCAGCACTTACTAGAGGGAACTCTGGCGCTAGTGTCTATGGGAGCTGCCATAAGGTCCGTTCGATTCACCTGCACCACGTGAACCAGTTCACGAGGTGCTGCACCTTGCCATTCGTTTCAGCGGTGCAGCATTGACGACCGCTGAACCCTGCCATTCGTTTCGAAAGGTGCAGAAAAGGTGCAGCACCGGTTCACGATTTTCCTGCACCTCCTTCGCTGACGGTGCCGGCTTGGTGTAGCCGCGCGTGCAGCTGAGCAGACGACGCAGCACTTAGACGTAGGTGGCTTAGGCGCCGTACCTGCCTCTACAAACGCGCTGTGTATTTTCAAGATCTTTGCGCCTCATAAACTGTCCGCATGCTCGATTTGCCATCGGTGAGTGTTTGCTGAACGGTGTAAATTAAGCGAAAAGAAATAAGGCCTGCACCTTGTCGGCACATCGTCATTTGTTTCAAGTGTCGTGCTCTGCCTGCACCGCTGAACTCACGCTGCAAAATTTCCGAACTTCGCGTGCACAGCCGTGAACCGGTTCCGACGGGTGCAGGTGAATCGAACGGACCTTTTGTCTAATATTCGTACTTTGGCCTGCTTTTGGCTCCGTGTGAGTTCGTGTGGCTTGGAACTGTTTTCTCACGAAACAAAAATCAGCAAATGTGCAACAATTGCGCTTCACTACCTTATATTTTTCAACTTACCTTTTCAAATTGGGTGACGAAGCTTAAAAAGGTTGATTCTTTCTTTCAAAACAAAACTGAAACACAGCAACAAACGAAGCCACAAGTACGAAGACTAGGCAATTGTGTGTACTACCCATCATTCCCATGGTCGCTGAACGATCGCAGCGCCAGAGTGCCGTCTAGTTTATTTTAGGAAACTGTATGAAAGAACCCCAGGTGGTCGAAATTTCCGGAGCCCTCCACTACGGCGTCTCATTATCATATGGTGGTTTTGGGACGTTAAACCCCACATATCATTCAACTCGTGTTTCTTTGCGCCATTCATAACCAAGTACCGCGCCGCGCATGCGATTCTGTGGGCGCTCGCGAATCCCGCCCCCCCTAAATTTACTGTAAAGGTCAACACTCATAGATATTTTATATCTGTACACGTTGGTAAAGGTAGCATATACAGTAGGACTCGTTCTCTGGATTTCATGCCGACCGGTTGAGCCCACGCGATCTCCGACGACAGTGCAGCTCTGGCCGACTGGCTTGCCCTACACCATCTCCTAAAGCAGACAAAAAGCTCTCGCCGAGTGGTGCCCCGTTCTTGGATTCCTGTGACCGTGTCCAACTTTCCTATCTTCTCCCTACTTCCGGATGGCCTGCCCCTGCGCTACACTAGTTCCTTCCCCCTCTATCTAAACCTTTTTATCCATCCTTACCCTTATCCCTCTGAGCTACTGTTGAGGTGTCCCACTGTGATGCACAGCTATGGGGTTCACTTTTATCTTTCCTCTTGTGGTTTGGGCTAGTTGGCATGACATTGTAGTTAAAGCGTGAGAACAGAAGGACGACGCTAATCTCCATGTTCGTTCTGGTCTCCCGCTATAATTATCTAGAGGAACCTAGAAGAGCACCGTGACAGTAGTTAATAGGACTGTAATTTCTAGCCGAAGTTAGCACACCAAAGATGATTGAAGCTGGTCGGGCATTTTAGCACAGCTCATCGCAGCAACGGGAATTCTAAGAAATTAGTGCAGATGTGGCACCCCTACTTATAAAGTGGCTGAATACTAATTCTGCCACGGTGAATGTACCATTAGTTCCTGCAAATGCAAGCCCCCCTTAGCATGAACTAGTACCTGAAACACTGGGACATAAGATTCATTGACCAATCCTGAGGATAAAACATGAGGCATAAAAAATGCGTCAGAGTAGTGGGGGAAAATGAAACCACTCCAGCCAGTCATTCTGCACAGCAGCACAAAATAGATGCTGTGTTTGGACTAGCCACTTTATACTCGATTCCTTAAAGTACACATGCAGAGCCCCCCCAAAAAAGCAAAGCCAGTGAATTGGAATGTGATGCACTTTATTCCAATTTCATTGTTTCAATCACGGTGAAGACCAGATTTGACAAACACATTGACGACCCGTCGCTTGACCAGTTAACTAGCTCTACATGAAAGATATAATGGCGGTGACATGATGTTGAATAGATATGCAAACACTTATTAAAAACACTTGTTAGCCCCTCTCTCTACACAATTGTACACAAACGTGACAGTAGACAGCTCGTCTTCCATACAAGTGAAAAAAAAAAAGTCCCAGATATACAACAAATTACAACCATAAAAACTGAAAAGTACAAGGCAGTTCCCCCTTTTTTTTACAGCAAAACTGGCAGTGGTAGAAAAAAAAAATAAAAACAAAATCTGAGAACACACACAGGAGACTCTTGGAAAATTATCTGGTGCACAAACAATAGCTCATGTTAAACTGAGCAATGCTTGTAAAAGCTGCAGTTGTAGATGAAATAATTCACAGTTCTTTTTGGATTGAATTTGTAGACTACACAAGGATAGCGAACCCAATTTCCCTAGCTTTTTTCCCATCGATGTGGATCCAGATTTGCCATAACAAACAAGATTGTATTTATAAGTACATTGCATTGGTAGAAGGGGCCCATTTGTAGACTAAAGCTCTGAATGGAAACGAAACTCCACATGACAGTGTTGTCACCCTTTTAGCACAAAAGCTTGCAAAATAATTTCACAGACTGCAAGTGCCCCCCTCCCCTTCAAACCAGTTTACAAGAGGCTGAACAATACAGCTGCAATGCAGGGCTACCTTAGGTGGTACATATTTTAATTCAAAACCACACATAGACATACACCGTGATGTCTGTTTCTCGGAGTGGTTGTGAATTCACCGTGAAGTTGACTAACCAAGGCTACGTTGTGTGCACATGGCAGAACTGCTGCGATCTGTGCACCACGACCAGTCAATGCAACACTACACGATGACATGGTTCATGAAATTAAGTGCGCAGAACTAACAGGTCTAGAAAAAAAATACATCAAAAAAGAACCTGTGAAGTGTAGGCCAATATTGCCTCGAGCATATGCAGTGGGCATAAAGTAAGGGAGGGCAAAGGCGAATTACGCAGCAGGACAACAATGAGATGTCACAGGGCACTTTCGAGATTTCGGGAGGGGAGCACTGGCAGGTTCACGGCCGCGCAGTGGTGGCCACTGCTGAAAAATAACGCCAGAGAGTGCGGCAACAAAAGCACACACAGCACTGGGTAACACAGACACGTGAACGGCTGCTGGTGGCATGGTGTGTCCCAGGCTAGCCGAATGCTGCCACCAAAAAGAACACTGGAACAGAAGAAAGGGGCGATGATGCGTGTAGAAGAGAGGACGACGAGCGGGGCGAAGAGAGAGAGAGAGGAAGAGTGTTCTTTTGGAGTCTCTCTAGGCACGCTCCCCACGGATCCGTCTGGCCAGCTGAATGTCCTTGGGCATGATGGTCACCCGCTTGGCATGGATGGCGCAAAGGTTGGTGTCCTCAAAGAGGCCAACAAGGTATGCTTCACTCGCTTCCTGTAAGGACAGATGAACAACCACAGGCTGCGGGTCAGGCTACGGTCCTCAACAGCTGGAGTTACTAACAAGAGGCCCCCAAACAACTGAACAGCTTCAGATTGCCTCTGCCATTGCACACAGTCCTGCCCGAGCACTACTTCAGCAATTTCCACGAAGATTGTGGCCACTGGCCGCCCAGTTTATGACAAGAGCCTGGAAAGTCATAGTGCAGGCTGCCATGGTTTGCTCAAGCGGCCGCTCTGAAACCCAACCATCAATAACCTTTAACACTGGGGCAAAAGTATTTTTGCAGGCACTCAAATTTGCCCATTACAGAAGCAGGGAACATGAACAAGACAACAGGGACACCATCCTCTAGAGTATCTTGGTGCTAGTTGTACAGCATGACAGATAGGTTGGCAATGGAAAAACTGGCATAGCACTAGGCACCAAAAACCCTTACAGCAGTCGCAGCCTGTGTTAGTAGATAATGATATGCCCATTTACGCAGTCACATGTGGCAGTGACTCACTGAAGTAATGTTAACTCACGACCAAGCATACGGACACCCCACAATATAACATTTCAGCTTTAGACTCCAGCTGGCTTATCGAGTGAGGCGTCGAATGCCATGGCTAGTTGCCGAAGATGTAAACATTGCCAATAAGTTGTTAGCACTGAACCCTGCACCGTTGTTGGACTCTCACTTGATTCCGTGCCGAATAGTTGTGCCCATGCGACCGCCGACCACAGCGCAGCTCTGGCTAACCTGCTCTAGCTAGTGGTACCCAGTCCTGGGACTCAGACGTGCTTCCATCTTTATCATATCTCTTAACTTTATCCCTTTTAATCCCTCTTTGCCCCCTCCCTCGTGAGCCACTGCTGCGGTGTCGCACTCAGATGCGGACATTTATGGGGCTCAATTTAATCTTTTTGCTCACGCGGCACCGAAGAACAACTGTGGGCGATCCAGCAGGGCGAGACCGCCACCAGAGCCCAAGCTCTTGTAGCCGATACCTAGGCAGGGACATCTTCCTAGATCGCGAACTCGCGAATTAAGGGAACACACACGGGTGCTCAAAATGCAAATGGAAAAAAAAAAACAAAAAAAACTCAACCCTGAAATGCAAAGAATCCAAGGAGTGAAATGCATGTATGGTGGAGAAATAACCTTTCTTGTGTATATTATATATATATATATATATATATATATATATATATATATATATACACATATATATATATATATATATATAAAAGACGTGAAAACAGTTACAACAACTAATGGAGAGCGACGGCAGCCGAGTGGTGGCTCCCTTGTTGTGGTCAGTAAAAGTGAAAGAACCGACAAAAGCGCAAAATATTCAGCCCTTTACAAACACGAATATTTATGCCCCCATGTTCAGAGAATGTTGCAGTAATTATTTAGTGTTGTAGTCGTGGGAACTGTGTACACTTCAATAGGGTCATTCCCAGAGGCACGACGGAAGCTTGTACTTTCATAAGTAACTCATTGCACAACTCTAGTTATTTCTGGAATACGAGCCCTGGAAACGCTGAACTTATAAAGAAGCGAGGCGAAGTGAGCACCCTCTACTGTTTTCTCATATTGCGAGTTTCATTACCTAACAGGGCTTTAGAGCAGAAATGGTGCCTGAAGTATGTCAGATGTGACCGAGTAACTTTTCCATGCACTTTCTCCCGTGCATACATCTGCATTTTTGGAACAAAAGTATAGAAGTCTACTCTACGCCTTCCTCTAGTCCCTGTGGTGAATTATGCAGTGAACTGGCTTAAGGTCAAATTACCGTTGTACATGCAACCAGCAGCAAGCAGTATTTTCTGTAGTGAACTGCCATCACAGACCCTTTGGGTATTAGCACACTACCAAGCAAGAAACCTGGCCCTAGGACAAATTTTTGCAAAGGGTCTTGAGAAGATGGGAATGAAGCGCGGACAGAACATTTGATGTAGTCCAGCTTCCAGTATAGATGGCATGCATTGTGCAGGCGGAAGCAATGCTGGCAGCTGTGTATGCACAGAATCTAGTGGCCTGGACAGGTGTACACCATCATGGCAGCACATGCCACACCAAGACAAGTGATTTGCAACTTTAGCTGGCCAGTCAGAAGCAGTGACAAGAGTAAGTACAGAACTTGTTTTTGAAGGCGATTCGCTGAAGTGGAACGCTTAGCCGGCTGTTAATGCAATCCGAACGGAACAGGCAGGAAAAATAAGTCCACTGTTCGAGGGAACGTGTGAATGCGTGGCCGGGAACTGGTGGCGAGATTTGTAAATGTGGCGCACGTGCATAAAAACGCGAAAGCCGTGCTTATCAAATTCTGTCCGCTACTTTTCGCCCCTGTGCTTGCCGAGTGCGTTCGTTGTTTCCCGGAGCGATTCATGCCGCCACTGCTCTGCGGGCGCCCCGTCAGGTAGTCGGCAGGCACATAAAAGGTACAGCTCGCTTCTTGTGTGGCATCTCGCCAGTTCTGAAACCGATTCAGAACTGCAGCGGTGGAATTTTGATTAAAGGCTACAAATAGTGAAAAGCCACGGGAATACATTTAGAAGCATGCTAAGAAATGCGTAATAATAACAAACGTTGGAATTCAACACCGTAGAACAGCGGTACGATTATGAGCCATGCAGTGAAGGCTCTAAAAATTTCAACCACCTGGGGTTGCAAGCAAAGTACCTAAACATTCCCACCTCCATTTCGCCCCGTGAGCTCAGGCCAGCTGTCGAGTACCATAACCCTACTCCATCGGGGTGAGTTGAAGAAGACGCTAGAGGATGAAATCTTTTCAAAGAATCAATACAGCATCATCCCTATGTTTTGGCTCTGGCTTGCTACATCCTCGCAAATCGTATTGATGTTCTAAATTGTGCAAGTGCTTGATTAAAGAAGCAACATGTGAAGAATATCCACATGTCGAATCGTGATAGCATGCACTTTTAAGAAAAGTACAGCACTTTCCCAATATGTGCTCGCATGAGAAATGAAGTGTGTAAAACACGAGAACATAGTCGTATTTTTATAACAAAAGAGCAGGCAAGATCTATGGCCTTTTAACGTTAGACGAATAAAAAGCGTCGTTTAGTATTTGGTGATGTCAGGTCCTGCATCGAGCCCGGCTTTATTCATCCTTGTTGGTGGAGACATGTACAGAGCTACCGTGAAAGATGAATCACGCTCAAGTCGCCCCCACTCTTCGGTTACGGAAGCGCAGAAGTCATCCATAGATGTTACGCGGAAAGTTTGGCAAGAGAGAGATGATTTCATGCCACCCCACAGAATTCACAAGTCTGGTGACGGGGGCACGTAAGCACAAGCTCAATCTTCAGTGGACCGTTTACCATGGCAGTGACGGCATGCACGCTGACTATTCGTTAGTAAAGAGCTCAACTACGAGATGCCTGTCGCCCTCAGGCGCCCTGGTCATGCCCCATATAAAAGCTGTCACTACCGAAAATTCGTTCAGCGAAGAAATACGCCCTCAGCTGTGCAATTCTGTGATAGGGATAACGAAGACTATCACTTGGGTAACCTATAGTGTCAATGCTTACAGAAATTTTAGGCGCAAGCTTAAATTTGCACAACATTCGAACCAGACGGCTGCCTTTGATGACAGGCAAAAATTTATGCGGCATGCCACGGGCACAGGCAGCTCCTTCCAACCAATGAAACAGAACACAGCACTAGCGCTCGCCGGGCGGGGAAGTGGCAGACGACGCAAAGCACGAACCACTCGCGATTCCGACCGTATGCTCGGCGCGTTCAAATCTTGCTAGCAGTTTGCGCACCGCGGATTACCGCAGGCTCGTGTGGTCCCGTTAACAGTGGACCGTACTGTACACTGTAGGTGCCCAAAACAACCGCGCCAGAATGCCAGACGTATTCGCATGTGAACACGTAACCTTAGTCGCACCTGGAGAGCTCCGATGGCCGCGCTCTGGAAGCGCAAATCGGTCTTGAAGTCCTGTGCAATCTCGCGCACGAGGCGCTGGAAAGGCAGCTTGCGGATGAGCAGCTCAGTGGATTTTTGGTAACGACGGATCTCCCTGAGGGCCACGGTGCCGGGCCTGTAGCGATGGGGCTTCTTGACGCCGCCCGTCGAAGGGGCGCTCTTGCGCGCTGCCTTGGTGGCCAGCTGCTTGCGGGGCGCCTTGCCACCGGTAGACTTACGGGCGGTCTGCTTGGTACGGGCCATCGCTGATGCTGCTTCAGGTTACCTGCGCACGGGACCAAGAAGCAACTGTGGACGATGCCAACGTTGTGGCTTTGGCAAATGTTGCACTCGGGAGTCGAACAGGACAAAAACTCGTAAGCAAGCGCAGTATCATAGCATGCACAAACCATCGCGACAAAGGTACTGTACTAGCAGCGGGGCAAGGTTCCGTTTGGCGACGCAAAAGTTGCCAGACTGCCGCCAAATTTGCCAGCAGCGGTAACCTGCTGTTCAAGTCACCAACAAATACAGCGCGATTAAATAGAGGTTTGAGATAAACTTGAAACGAACAAGAGGCAAGATTAACACCAGAAGTTACTAACTACACAAACAATAAAATGCCCCTGAAGCGGCTGCATCCAACACGGAAGCTTTCAGGGCTACGTAGAACGACCAGTTCTGAAGCCGTGAAAAGGAAAAACAAATAGGCCGCTAAGAATTAGGAACGCGCGTGAACACATTGAGTAGGCTAACACAGCCCATGAAGGTGTGACGAGCGCGAAGGACCCGGGGCGCGTCTGGACATGTCCGAAGGTGACGAAGGGACAATGAAGTACGGGCAATTTGTTCCCGCCAATGAAAACACGCGCACAGCGGAAGCATGCCCAAGACTCCCGAAGAATCTCGATGTCGTCGCAAACTGGCAGGAAATCAACCCTCACGAAAGAGCACAGCTAACAGCAAAGCAAGACGCGGCCACCGGTAGTATCTGGTCGGTCACAAATAAGCAGTGGATGCAAGGTTAGGCCTAAGGGAAGGTGCGACCAGCGGTCCGGAGGAACGGCAGCAGGGCGGGCTGCCTTTCGCGTACGGACGCCGAAAAGAAGCAGCACGTCCGCGTTTCCGAACGGAGACAAAGGCCAACTCACAGCGACAACAGGTGCACGGTCAGGGCCGAAGCCAAAAACACGAACGGTCCTTCGCCGAGAAGCTTTATATCAAAATGGCTGCCACGGGTATTTTGAGAAGAAACGGCAGCACAATGAGGCACGCTGCCGCCGGTGTGGGCAGACGTGGCAGCAACGCGAACTCTGCGACGCTGGCGTACGAAAACTGCTCAAAAAGCCGGTCGGCCCTAAATTCGGCGCTACATGAATAAGAGCCAACATACGTCAAGTCCGAAATCCGGGGCACTTTCGCGGGTCTTCCTGCAACAACAACGAAGCAACTCACAACAACCGAGCGTGCACTGCAGAGAGCAAGAAACAATAAAAAAAAAGTCAGTCGAAACTCACATTAACTGACCGACAAAAGCTACGACAAAAACCAGCATGACACAGAGCAACGTCATCAACTCCGCGAGCGACTATTGGCCGTTCTTGACGTCACGTCTTTTACTATTGGCTCCGATAAGCTCATTTCCCATTGGTTGATTGTTTGGCAGCAGTGCATGGCGATTGGTCCGTTCGCAAGCCTCTTGGATGTCGAAAATGGTCGCTTTTTGGGCGCAGGCCCCGAGCACATTCGGCACCAAGGCAAGTTGCGCAAATAATACGCACGTTTCGCATAGAGAAAGCAAGCAGCAAAATAACACCGAACAACGCTGTAAATGCGTGCTGACAATTACGAGCTACAATGAGGGACCGTCTGTCGCCTACTTTCGAAAGCGGTCCGCTCAAAAACCGCCTGTTACTAGTTGACTGGCGCACTTGCCATGCTGGCTGAAGTTTACGCGACGGATGAATATTGGCCTACAGCTATGTACTCCTAGGGGTGAAAATATGCCTAGCCGAGACAGGCGGCACACTGCGAGTACAAACGGCCGATACCTGCTGAACTTCGGAACCGCAGACCGAAATAAACCATTTCTACTTACCTTGCACGAAACGTGTCTCGAAGGTGCAGGCGCTCAGGCGAAAGAAACTTCAAGGTGCTCTGTGCCTCAACTCGAGAGCCTCCGCTCGACAGACGCTAACTGCACGACCGCACTACAAGTGAGTGAACTTGCTATGTAGGTCAAATCGACTCTCGCGCCATCTACGCCACCTTCTCCAAACCATAGCCTCCTATATTTTTTTGTGCCCGCGCATTAGCGCTAAATACATACGCGCCATCCGTCCCTTATAGTTTTGGCGCTCGCCGCCAGATGCCGCACCGATCCCATAATAACAGCAGACGACGCGGCCTATGCACGCTTGCGTTTATGACGGTCTAGAAACCGTCTACATTGCATTGGATTATGCGTATACGTTAAGTCGCCTTTCTTTTTACGGTAGTGCTGCAGATAACAAAAATACAGCGTTTAGGCACGATTCCTTGCAGCAAGCGAATGTCTTAACGATGTAACACTTTTAACAAAGAACTTACCCGAATCGCACTTGATACAGTCACGGTTGTCTCAGCGAGCGCTGCAGTTAACGAAGCTCTTGGGGGAGACTATTGTGCCAGAAAAAACATCAAGGGCAAGCAGAAAACACAATGGGCCAAGCACAGTTTTACATCGAGCACGCCAAACCAAATTTGCGCGCGACGGGAAAACCGCGGCGTAGCGGTGTGCGCCTGTTGCTGCAGCAAGCGAGGCGCGAGCTGGATGGAATGGATGGATGGATGCTATGAGCGTCCCCTTTATAACGGGGTGGTGACAAGTATGCCACCAGGCTCGACAAAAAAAAAAAAAACCTTTTTTTCTTTTTTTATGTTGGCCTAATGCCTCTACTTCGATAAATTCTATCTTAATGGAAAAAAAGGTAAATTTTCAGCTTAAGTTCTGTGCCATTTACGGCACACTGTCCATATTTTATTTTTCCAATATTTATTTTTGTCCTTTCTCTCTAATTTTCTGCCACCAATACTCTAACCGTCTCTTACTTATTTCAATCGCGGGTGTGTTCAGCTTTCCATTGTTGTCCCTAAAACCCAAGGCTTCCTGTAGGCTCGTGCCCAAACGTACACCTGGGTGGATATCTCCACATTCAATCAGAACATGCTCCGCCGTTTCCTTATCTTTCCCGCAGCATGTGCATTGTTCTTCTTCTTTACTGAATCTTGCTTTATAACTACGCGTTCTAAGGCAACCCGATCTCGCTTCAAACAGTAAAGCGCTTCCCCTTGAATTATCGTAAAATGCCTCCCTCCTTATTTCATTTTTGCCCTTTCGGTAGTTACTCAAAGCCGGTTTTTTCTCCATAGCTGCCATCCATTCTCTCGTTTTGCGCCTCGGCGCTCCGCCAGGAGCGCTCGCATCCCATAATAGCTCGGGGGACGGCGCTGAGGGACCGACCGCTCGGGCACAAAGTTATAGAGGAGGCTATGTCCAAACACAGCTTTATATTCTCATAAACAAAATCAGAAAAATCCCGGAAAATGCTCATAAAACTCCTTAAAAATTCCGTATATTTTAGAAAGTGCAGAAAATTTTTCTGCAAGCCGATTATCGGGCTCCTAGACATTACGTTCACACAATATATGCGAACCTTGCCCTTGCTGTCAAGGCAACGAGCGCTAACAGTCGGGACCACCTACACCTTAGTCAGGACCGTTATCGGCGGAGTGAGTGATCGACGCGATATGCTCATTATTGTGTAATGCCTGATCGTGCATGCACCAGCGAGGCCCGTTGTGTGGACGATTGCGCAATGCTGATGTTATCGTTGCGTGGTGGAAAGGACAACACCGGGAGCTGATCGACGCTAATCCTCGCAGCTGCTGCAGCGCCAAATTTCGACTTCTCGAATCACGTGAGCACGCCTTGGTTCTCGTGTTCGGTCAACGGCGAGATGGCTCTGTATTGTTTTTCCAACGGTCTAGGCACTTGCAACGGCTGCGTTCCGCCGTCAACTAAACATTCTTGGCCCATCATCCAGGTGTCGTGTCAATGAGTCGCTGTCATTTATTCCGAAGTTGCCGCGCCTGTACATAGTAAGGCGGAAGCGTTTCTTTCGGGTGTAGTTCGCGCGTAAATGTGCTCGTAAGGTCCTCACGCCTTTTTGCATGCGACCGCGTTCGAAGCTGCATGGGGCGGCAACTTGCGAACGAGTAGGTGCGTAATTCCCTACGCCTTCAAGCAGCGATTCGTGGTCGTTTGTCGATGGTTAATCATGTGTTACAATGTGTTACACGCTCGACACATGTGCCCAGACTTGCTCATGGGTCACAGGAAAAAAAAAAAGGAACCGTTCAGGAATAACCGCAGAGAAAAGTAAGGAGTGCTAAAGGGGCTCACATCACGAATTCTTGCGAAGTAGCTCAACTACCTGCCGTCCTAAAATTGCTTAAATAGAAAAAAAGGTGATTACGCTTATCAATTATTGCTTAGAAAACTTAACTGAGCAATTTCTGGAACATAACCTATTGCATATGATGTCCAAATGTGTGCAAAAAAAAAAAAAAAAGCTGGCCCTGTTGTTCAAGTGCATCTTAAGTTCTTTGACATTTGTTTTTCTTCTCAGTGTGCAGTATTCCTCTTCACTTGTTTTTAGCTGAAGTGACACTGAGATGCCTGCTTAAAGAAGGTGTTCTGGAGCAATGTTTTGATTTGAGCCAGTTATTACGTGCATGTCATGTGTCTTGTGTTCCTGCATCGTCGTTCTTTTTCTTGCGCTGTCATTCCCCAACTAAAAGTGTTTGTGCCTGAGCAAAGATGTACAAACAGGTTATTCATGAAGTGGTGGCCTTAAACTCGTGATGTAGGGAACTAAGGTTGCACGGCAGGCTTGTTGATGATTCATAGCATTCAAAGGCTGGTCAAGGTCAGGACAAAGCAAAACAAACACATACACAGCTGTTTATGTGTGTTCTTTTGCTCTATCCCTTCTTGGATGTGCTATACGTAGTTTTCGTTGACGTCACCATCTTGATGTGCCAGCCAGTAGGGATGCTGCATGGAACAAGTAATAGTGACATAAGATGAGGGCTAGCAGATGCACGTGCGTAAAGGTCTTTCCTTTCTGTCTAGCCTCGCACGTCACCAGAGGGCTCTTTGTTGTGCAAATAAAAATTATTATTAGTGCCCCCTTGCTTTCCATTTGTGTGTCCCCCTTTTTGGCCAACAAAATAAAGTGTAGGGGGAACAAAAGAACGCAGAGAACGAATGACTGTGTGACCTCCCCTGCAACATAGTCCTTGGATGGAGGGACTATGCCTGCTCTGACACTCTCTAAAGTGATGAAAAGTCACAGTGGCCACCATGTTGAGGTACCCAGTGCAGAGAACGTGTGACGTGAAAGCTATGTATATGTTTTGAGCTTGGACTCGCGTCTGTTTCTCTTTATTTTTTATTTATTTATTTTACAATACTGTCAACTCTCATTTCATTTTTTGCACCATTTGCTCAACACCTTGAAGAGATGTTAATTTTAACTCCTTTTTGTTTCATACAGTAGAATAAAATAAACAGCCATCTGTGAACAGCTTAAGTTGCATATCTGGCTCCACGATAGCGTAAATGTCATTGATACACCAACAATAAAAGTGGTCCCTGAACAGACCCCTTCGGGAATCCCGAGAGCACTGACATTGAGTCGGAGACATGACCATCCATTCTTACCAGCTGGTTGTGGTTGGTTAAGTACACTTTAATCGACTTTATTACAGTGGCATTAACCATTTACTGCCTATTGTCGTGAATTGGTGGCATACCAAAAACTTCAAGCAAGCAAGCCACGGAATGCATGTCGCCTTTAATACCAGCTGTGAAGTACTCTCAGGGAATGTAGCTTTCAGCATGAAAAATCTGGCATGAAAATTCGCGTTGTACCGTGACACTGGTGGAGGTGCTGGGCCGCAACCCTGTCTGATGCTCCACACGCCCGCTGGGAGCCATTCAATGAGTCCAGAATCATTGTCACCGGTAGCAACTCCGGTGCATCGCTCCAGTCGACGGTTGCGAGGCCTCGCGCCAGAGCTCACTCACTCGCCAGAACCTGCTAGGCACCGTACACCTCAACCGATGGCCAACGCAAGCCCGCAACAGGTGCCCCAAGGCAGCTTTCTAACGCCCCCATCTCAGGTGACCATCTTTCAACCCCTCGTTCCCGATCGCTTTAGGCTTTAGTGGCGGTGCCCATGAACACATTCACGACTGGCTTGACAACTACGAGCGTGTTGCCAAGGTCAATCAGTGGTCGGAACAGGAAAAGCTTTCTCGTGTCTATTTCTACCTTGACCACGGTGCTCATACTTGGTGTGAGAATAGAGAAGGCAATTTGTCAGCTTGCTCCGACTTTCGACAGAAGTTCGTCGATACCTTCGGCAATGTCGATAGAAGGGACCGTGCGTAGCAGTTATTGGAGATACAAGTTCAAAAACCCAACGAAACCGTTGCAATGTTTGCTGAGGACATGACTCGTCTCTTTCATCGAGCTAACCCGCACATGACTGAAGATAAAAAATTGAGTTACCTCATGCGCGGTGTCAAGGAACAGCTTTTTGCCGGGCTACTGCGCAACCCTCCAAGTACAGTGGTTGACTTCACTAAGGAAGCTACGGCTATTGAGCGGGCCCTTCATCAACGCTGCAGGCAATATGACCGCATGTCCTGCAATGTCCCAATCAACGCTAACGCCATGACGTCTGAGAATCGGACCTCCTTACGAGAGTTGATTAGGGAGATAGTTCGCAAAGAATGCAGAGGTTGCGGACTCCGGTTGCTGAAAATTTCATCGCGTCGATCGCTGAAGTCGTACGCGACGAAATTCACCAAGCGTTGTCTACGACTGGTCCTGATACTCAGCAGTGTCCTATGAGTTACGCTGCCGCTCTCCGACGTCCACCACCCGCTACGTTGACACTGTACCACCAGGTTGCCATGGTCCCTTGGTCTCCGACGCAAGAACAAACACTGCATCAACCACCCACGCTACAGCCATACAACCAGTCGTCCACAACCACCACATGGACAGCGATGCCAGGGGAGATGCTCAGACGTCCACCGACCCGGAAAACCGATGCATGGCGCACAGTGGACAGGCATCCACTATGCTTTCACTGCGAAGGTGCAGGCCATATTGCCCGTCATTGCTGGCATCGAGGTAATTCATTTCGTCCTCATCAACCTTGCTTTGACAGTCGACGTGCCAACGACGAATAAACACCACGCCGTGACGACACCCCTTTCTATGGAGCCCGTTCACACTTTGACGATGGCTCTACCACTGCAGAGGAGGCAATGCCTACTCACCCTCCTAGTCTGAGACGTCGATCCCGCTCTCCGTCCCCCGCGCGTTCGCCTTTGTCGCACCACTGCACCTACGCGGACCTTAATACAAGAAGGTCACATAGCCCGCGCCGGGGAAACTGAGAACGGCGACGTCCGGGGGCAAGGTTGCAGGCCATAAAGATGACGACAAGAAGCCCCCACAGCATGACGTCATACAGCCGATAAGCCGTGAAAACGATGAAATTGTGACGCCGACCTTAGTGTTCTCCTTGACGGCCAGAAAGTGACAGCTTTAGTCGACACTGGTGCCGACTTCTCTATTATCAGTCGGGACCTCGCCGACAGCCTCAGAAAAGTGAAGACGCCGTGGACGGGCCCCCACATAAGAATGTCAGGGGGCCAGTTACTGATGCCCTCTGGAAGATGTACCGCAAGAATAGACATCCGAGGTTCTCCTTTCACTGCGTCGTTCGTCGTTATCGCCGCATGCTGCAGGGATGTAATTCTTGGCATGGATTTTTTACGGGAATATGATGCCGTCATCCACATACCAGAGAGCTTGATTACGTTTTGCAACAGTTCGGCCTTACCCAATTCTCCAGAGGCGCGACCAAACCAATTGCGTTTTACTGATGATGACGTGGTTCTCCTTCCTAGGTCATGCACGCTTGTTTCGGTGGCCGCCGCTGCTCACTTTGACGCCGAAGGAGTTGCAGACCAAATAAGCTCGCTGCTCTTCACCCACGGTATTTCCGTCGCACGAGGTATCGTCAGAGTTGCTGCTGGACGCACGGACTTGCTGCTGACCAATTTCAGTGCTGAGTGCCGGCACCTTCCTAAAGGCACGGCTGTCGCTTACTTCGACGATGTCGTAGATGCCGAAGGCTGCTTGGCGGTAGTCGATGAGTCGCTAAATCTTGATTCAGCGCCTGTTCTGGACGTTAGCACTACTTTGCCGAAAGACGACCGACGCAGACTCCTTGAGCTACTGGCCAAATAATTTCCAGACTGCTTTTTGACAACATCAAAAGTTGGCCGCACGCCTCTAACCAGGCATCGAATAATTACCGACGAAACGGTGAGACCTATTCACCAGAATCCTTATCGTGTGGCTCCAAAAGAACGTGAAGCGATACAACAGCAGGTGGACAGAATGCTTGAAGATGACGTCATTCAGCATTCACAGGGCCTCACCTGTAGTCACCTGGGCCTCACCTGTAGTCCTCATTAAGAAAAAGGACGGCAGCCTGCACTTCTGTGTAGATTACCGGAAGCTAAATCAGGTGACCAAGAAAGACGTATTTCTACTACCGCGTATAGACGATTCTCGCGACAGACTTCGACACGCTCGATACTTCTCTTCAATGGATTTGCGGAGTGGATATTGGCAAATCGAGGGGGACCCGAGAGACCGCGAGAAGACCGCTTTTGTAACACCAGATGGGTTATATGAATTTAAGGTCTTGCCATTTGGTTTGTGCTCAGCGTTTGAGCTCAGTTTGTGCTACCTTTCAAAGACTCATGGATACCGTGCTTTCCGGGTTGAAGTGGAAAACATGCTTAGTATATCTGGACGACGTC